ACACAAATAAACACAAATATCACAGGGAGGAACAGGCTGGCTGTCATTGATTGCTGTCCGGGGAATGTGAGCCAGGCTGGCGGGGGCTGCCAGCGATACCACCTCAGTGTACCAGGCCTGTGCAGAAGCTGGAGTTTCTGATTTGGGGGCTTGATGTCCCCACTTGTCCCCATTTGCTATTTTTCATTGGTCAACCTCTCCTCCTTAGTCTCAGAGAGACAGTGATAGGCTTACACAGCACCTGGCCCCAGCCTGAGGAGCAGGGGGCGTGGTGTGATCCCAGGGGCCACCTGGGATATTGAAGCCCAGATCCCAGATGAGCCTGTGAAGGAGGCAACCAAGCACAATGCCTCGGAGCATGGTAACTAGACTCCTTTCTAGGTACCTGCTATGGCCTTGCTCAGAGGTTGTGGACCAGCTTCCCTAGATCATCTTAGACCCCAGGATGAAAGGCAGGGCCCTGTCTCAGGTCTGCACTTAGACTAAGATCCATGTTCACCTTTAGTTCTAGTACTCAGGAGGCAGATATCTGTGAGTTGAAGGCCAGCCTGATCCACATAGAGGGTTTCAGGCCAGCCAAAGGTATACAGTGAGATCTTGTCTCAAAATAAAGTGGAAAAAATTCCAGGTCTTGTGGCTGTTGTGAACCCACAGATGGGAGCCAGGAGATGTTGAAGGCCCTGCCAGCCAGCCTGGCCCAGGAGACCCAGCCTGACCCTTGGGGAGCAAGACATTCTCCGTTCCTCCCAGCCCTACAGGGGCACAACAAGGTCCCTCCATTGACTCTGCTAAGGGAACTGTAGCCCTCCTGGGGTTGTCTTGTTCATCCCATACACTCTGTTCTTTAATCCAGATGCTGGCTGCTTCTGGAAGCCAGAGCAGGCCTTGGAGATCTGAGCACCGTCCACTCCATTACTCCAGCACTGATACTCCCAATGCTGGAGAGTATGGGTATGTAGCTGCCGAGAGCAGGCCAGACCCTCTGCAGCTCAGCTCTTCTCTGGGCACCCCATTGCAAGAGTAGAGCGAGTAGAGGGGGCCACACCAGATTCTCTGCCTCTGCCTGCCCAGACCCGATTCCATGAGCAGCAGTTGTCCTGTCCAACCTGGGACCCTTCTGGGCCTGTCTGACATGCACACAAGACTCAAACCCAGGGAATGACCTTGTCCCAATTCTCCTGACTCCTTCCTCTTTGATCCTGGTCCCCGACCCTAGGAGCTAGGAAAGCATAGGAACCCTAGGAGAGTGGGCAGGGAGATGTAGCCATGTCCAAAATCAACAGAGGTGAGCCCAACAGCTACAGAAACCACCGGGAGAAGAGCAGGTGGTGGACTTGGATGGAGACTCAGAGACAGCCTGGCGAGCTGCCTGCACAGCTTGGCTAATGGGCACAGTCCCTTACATGGAGTGCCTGAGCTAGACTGTAACCTCCTCAAGGGCACTAGTTTTCACATGTCACAGACTAGGGTACTATGCTAAGCACTAAGATCTACTTTCAGAGTCCAAAATATTCCACTCAGCAGCTTCTCAGCAGCCTAGGACAATGCCATTCTTCATTACTGCCCTTTGCGGGCCATTTCTGGGAAGGGCTGTGAGATCTGGCAGGCCTGAGAAGTTGGGGGTCTAGGTCTCCCAAAGCCCTTCTCCTCAGGGGCTGTGCTCAGGCAGCAGGTGGCCCTGATGAGTCCCAGGCTAAAGCTGGGGACTCGGCCTTTCTCTACCAGGGCTGTCACCCAGCCAGCAGTCACTCAGCTAGCTCAAGTCCCAGCAGGCCTTGAGGATAAGCTATCTGTGGAGATGTCAGAGAGCTGGCCTCCCACCCAGGGAACTGACTGCCTCCAGAGAGGAATCTGCTTCCCTATAGGACAAGGCCAAGAATGTTCTTGGGCTTTTCAAGGCTAAGTCCAAGAGGTCCCCCATCTCAGAGCCAGGCCTCGTCCCCAGCTAACCAGTCCCATCTGCAGTCTGTGGGTTGATTCAGGGTCTCACCACTCAGGATGGCCTGAGTGCTACAATGGGCCCAGAGAAGGGAGAGATAGGCCCAAGACCAGGTGGAGAAGGGGCCTCCAGGCCAGTCCACCCGATACCTTGTCCAATTTCTGACACTTGGTAAGGGTGAGAGGAAAACCTTGGCTAGGGCCAGGCTGTGGGGAGGCTGTGGGCCTCGCCTCAGCCCAACCGAGTCCCTTACTTACAAACAAGTCTCCATGATCTTGTAGGCTTACATTTAGCACACTTCCCAAGAACCCCTGCAAGGTGCAAGGTAGGGCACAGATGGGGAAACTGAGGCACATAAAGGCTGGACATTGGCCTGGGAGACCTTGTCTTTGCCAGGCCCAGGAAGGCCTCTGAGTTCTGTTCAAACCATCTACTCTTGGCTCTGAGCCACAGGAGGAGACAGTATGTCCAGGCAGGAGGAGATTCTGCGTGATCTGAGGCTCTAACACTCAGCTGTCCTATAGTTTATGGGAAGTAGATGCCCTCAAACTGGTAAGAACTTAGAAGGGGCCTATAGAGATGGTTCAGAGGTTAAGAGTACTGGCTGTTCTTCCAGAGGGACCTGGGTTCCATTCCCAGCACCCACGTGGCAGCTTACAGCTGTAACTCCAGTTCCAGGGGATCTGATACCTTCACACCAATGCACATAAAATAAAGTTAAATAAAAAAGAACTTAGAAGAAAAGACCTCAGTGACAGGGTTGGCACCTGGGAGCATGTGGAGGTTCAAGCTGGGGCACTCAGACACTTGCTCCATAGTACAAGCTGAGTTCTGGCATGCTGTACATTCTTGCTAGTTCACGTGAGCCTGTTTCCTAAGTCCTCATAGGACACTAATCAAAATGGACAACATGGTCCTTCAAATAGGATGGTGAGAGCAGGGAGGAGGGACCCCAGTATATTCAAAACCTGGAAGGCTTCCTAGAGGTATGGTCAGGTTTTCCTGAGCGGGTAGTACAGGCGGCAGGCAGTGATGCATACACATCCTGGGAGATGGGACCAGGAATGCACACACAGGAGACAGGGCCTGAAGAGGACTTGAAAGGGCTCTAGGTATCCCACTCCTTGTTACTTTGGGGAGGCTGGGAAAAGGCCCTTCAGGGGCAAGGAGCTAGGTGGGAGAGAGGAAGCTTCCTACTGTGGTGGGGTTGGTAAGGCATCAGAATCTTGTTCCCTTCAGAGGCGGCCCAGGACCACACCTGGTGCATCCCGGGCACCAGGTCCTGAGTGCTGTCCCTTCTCACTCACTCTCGGTCCTTGTTCCACTGGGATCAGCACTGTGTCCCAGTTTCCAGTGAGCCAGTCCAGCCTGAGCAGCATTGTGGACGGGTGCCGAGCAAGATGGGGTCATGGGACAGGACCAGGAAGAGGTGCTCTCAGAAGGGGCACACAGGAGCGCTTGGATAGACAGAGGCCCATACTGGCTTGGAAATGGAGCAGCCCCTACCTCACCAGGCAGGGCTGACTTTGCAGAAAGAACTGCCACCAGTTTCAGCCGCAGTGCCACGGTGTTGTCCAAGGGACCTGCTAGTTTCTTTGTTATCACTAAAGCCACAGTATCCGGACAGGAACAATGCTAGGAAAGAAAGGTTTATTTTGAGGCATGGAACCAGGAATGACAGAGAGGAGAAAGCAGCAGGAGCAGGGACCTTCAAAGGCCCTTCTCCAGTGACCCACTTCCACAAGTGAGCCCACACCTGAAGTTCTACAGATCCCCAAATAGCGCTTGCCACCAGCAGAGCAGTCAGCTAAAACATGAGCCTGCTGGGGACATGTCAGGTTCAAACCAAAGGAAGACTCCACCCTTGGAAGTACTTCAAAATTGCTCTGCATGCGGGGTGGGGAGGGGGATCGCTCCATCTACAGAACCCCTCTCCACAGGTTGACGCGGCCAGACCTTTCCAAGCTCTCCCTCTCCCCATCCTCAGTTCCTCTGGAGAGAACTCCCAGCTCTGCTGCTGGGTCAGGCTGGGGCCTGGGGACTGTGTGTTCCAGAGCCTTCCTCCTTAGGCCCAGGGCATGGATGGACCTGAGTGGGCTATCTATGGGCTGTCCTAGGCATGGGCTGATGGGAGGCTGTGTGGAGAAGGACTCTTAGGCTCCTCTGGGTGGTTCTGGGAACTACCCTACTTCCTCACCTGGAGCTCTGCTGGGCCACTTTCTGTAGCCCCAACATTAGTGAGAGAGCAAGAATCCTTCCTGGCAAAGCCCACTCAGATGTTAACGGTAAAACATCTTGTGCCTCAGAACCCCAAACTCCCTGGCCACAGGGAAGGGGGGGGGCAGTGCATGCCAGCCCTCTCTTCGCCACAGACTGCAGCCACCTGTCCCCACTATGGCAGCTTGAAGCCCACTGCTCCACCTTTCCCGCTCACACAGCTTCCTAGCCCTAAGGGAGCACAAAGGATCGCCTCGCCTGTGAACCCCAGTGGGCTGACCATGGCCGAGGCTGTGCTCAGCCAGCACAGGCGGTTCTTAAACTCCCTGCAGGGTAGATTGAGTTTCATTCCTTGGTGAGGGTTCCTCATGGCCACCTGGACTGCTGGCCTTTCAGGACCAAAAGTTCAAGGCACAAATGGTGCTTTGTGTTCCCTGCTGGGGTCATGGGACTTGGAGAGGATGATAGGTAGGGCTTGTGAGGGGAAGGTCTTAGCCCCAGGTGGGAAGTGACTAGATTTTCCAGCAGCAGGGCAGCACCAAAGAAACCTCAGGTGCCATCCCTACTACTGAGGTATGTGGGCTTTGACAGGAGTGGGGCAAGGTCTGGACCAGTTCTGTCTCTGGGGCTAGGGTGGGGAGTGGGGGTATGCAGAGGCCTCGGCCTGCTGCGACCTGCCCTTTCTTCGCTGAGGTGCAGGGCTCAGCTGGAACCTCTTACATAACCAGCCCTGTTACTGATGAGGCTGCAGCTGGGACAACCACCCTCCCTCACACCAGCATCACGAGCCTCCAGTGGGCCGGCCTTGGGCTTTGGGTGGAGGCCAATCCTGGCTCATAAATAGGGGTCTCCACAGTGCCCTCTGCTCCTCCTGCCCACGGTCTTCCTTGCTCTCCCCACATTGCTGGCTTCAGGCCCAGACACTGCTCCTCTCCAGGCAATGGCTGCTCTTCACGTGCTGTGGATGGGGCTGGTCCTGTTGGGGCTCTTGGGATTCCCACAGGCACCAGCTGAGAGTGACAGCCATGACTCCGTGCAGCCCAACTTTGACCAAGACAAGGTGAGGTTCCCCAACCCCACTCCCAAGACAGCAGAACCCTCAGGTCGATGAGCACTTCCTGTGCTTGGCTTTCTCCCACAAAAGAGAGTGCTTGTTCCAGAATTCATGCTCTCAGAGCCTGTGCTGGCTGAGACCTGAGCCAGCTGAAAGAGAAGGAGTGCTGGCTGGTTAATCCTCCTAAGCCACAGCCAACCTCTCCTCAGAGGGTGCTTACACACATGTGGGCCACATAGTGTTCATGGTTTTCAAACACAACCCCCCTACAAGCCCGACACCTGGGACATGCTCAAGCACAGGTCACACATCTGAGTCTGGGGACAACTGTGAGCTGGCTAGCACTTACTTTCCAGTGAGCTCCTGGATATGCTGGACATTGCCAGTCATGTACGCACATGCACTGGAGCTGGCTGGGACCCCACTGGCACACTGCCTGGTTGGTCCACCTGACTCCTCCAGGAATGTGGCATGCTCTGAAACCCACTCTACCCCTAGGGGATCAGGATGAGGACTGGGACAAACATCCTGGGGAAGAAGGGAGGGTCTTTGCTACCTACCTCCTCCACAGGGCAATGGGCCAGGCCTGCTAGAGAGGGAGGGGACAAGGGAAGGGGTGCTACTAGGACCAGTGTAGTGGGGGAGTCAGGGGAGGAACAAGAAGCCCACTGGGTCTGCTCATGAGGGGTGTATGGAGCATTGCCAACCTAGGCATCCACTGGTCGCAGTTTCTGGGGCGCTGGTACAGTGCAGGCCTGGCCTCCAATTCAAGCTGGTTCCGGGAGAAGAAGTCAATACTGTTTATGTGCAAGACAGTGGTAGCTCCCTCCTCAGATGGCGGCCTCAACCTCACCTCTACCTTCCTCAGGTGAGAGAATGGGGTGCAATAAGTTCTGGGACCCAGAAGTCCCCACATCATTGCCTGGGGACATGCTGGAGCTTGTTTCTTACTTCAAGGGTGATCTGCCCACAGGAAAAACCAGTGTGAAACCAAGGTCATGGTGCTGCAGCCTGCAGGGGTTCCCGGACAGTACAACTACAACAGCCCCCGTGAGTGAGCTGCTTGCTGCCTTACCTGGGTCAATTCTCAGGTCCTTGCTGACAGACTGGACATCCCCCTATCCCAGTATTGTGGGGATAATGGTCACCTCTACACTGTCAGTCATCCACGGACAGATCGGGTTGTGAATCTGCCTCAGGCATATGAGGCACAGGTGTTGGGGACAGACAGACCTCTCTCTGGGGACTGTGTCCTCTCTGAAGCCCACCCATGTTCTGCTAGGCCCCTTTCCTGCCCAAAGGGAATTTTCCAGTTCTCTGCTGCCCAAGTGGGTTACTCATAGGCATTCCCTAAATCCTGCCTACGCGTCAACAGTTCCTACCCAAGAACCATCCTTCACCTAAGATATGGTTCCCCACAAGAGCCCATTTTCCTTCTGCTGGCTGTATTAGAACCCAGCCAACAATTTTCTGAGCCTAAGTGTTTTCTGCCTTCTTCCCAAGACTTGTGACTTGGGGACAGTGCTCCTGGGCTGTTCAGGCAGGAACCCAGAAACTGACAGGTGGCCACCTAGGGACAAGGAAGGCAGCCAAAGTGACAGTGGGATTGAGAAGTGTCCTGAGAGCCAAAGACCCAAGACCCTCCCTACAGTGAAGCCCTCAGAAGTCACCCCTTCCAAGTAGAGGAGGACCTGAGGTGTGGGAGCCATGTGTACCAGTGTCATTTCTTGGGTTCCCAGATTGGGGCAGCATCCACTCCGTCTCCGTGGTAGAAACCAACTATTTTGAGTACGCACTGCTGTTCAGCAGGGGCACCAAGGGCCCAGGCCAGGACTTCCGCATGGCCACTCTCTACAGTAGGTATCACACCCCACCAAGCCCCCACACAAGGGAGACTCCTTAGAAGCTTGGCCTGAGGTTGGAAAAGACCAATGCTTGATCCTAGGGGAGTGTACCAAAGGGGTGGTCCCCAAGACACAGCTGTGGGGCAGAATGGAGCCTTTTCTTCTCCCTTTCTTTATCTACCAGGCCGAACCCGGACTCTAAAGGACGAGCTGAAGGAGAAATTCACCGCCTTTAGCCAGGCCCATGGCCTCACAGAAGAGGACATTGTTTTCCTGCCCCAACCGGGTGAGGGAGGCTAAGCTGTGGGGGGTGGGGTGGGTGGGAGGGAATTATAGTCAGATTAGAGCTAGCCAGCCCTCTGATTGCAGCTGGGTGAGGGGATCCTGGGGAGAGTGTGGCCTTGTGTCACCACCTACTAGCACAGGGAACTCCAAGGAAATAAATGGAGGTGTCAGTCTGTCCCAACATTATTACATCTGCCTGAAGCCCCTTTGTTGGGAACCCCTTTCTTGATGGATAACTAGCACCCTGTCTGCCAGTCCCCCAGCTAGAGGTTTAGGGGTGCTGCTGGAGAAAACAGAAAGACCACCCCTTATGTTCTGAAGAACAGACTGGAGCAGAGGGATGGGATGCAATCTTAAGTCTGGGGGCTCAGCAAAAGTTAACTCTTCTTAGCCTTGGGGGAGGTTTCTCTGAGTCCAAGGAGAAGCACCAAGGCCTGGGACAATGGGTCTAGGCCTGATTCTGACTGCTTCCCTGGACTTCTTTCTTGGCAGATAAGTGCCTTCAAGAGTGAAGACAGGTGAGAGAAGCCAGTCAGTGGGCGAGCTTCACTGCGTAAGTGCTGCTCTTGTCCATTTACTCACACAACATACAACCGCTGAGTGGTGGGGACACAGCTCCCCAAGCAGAACAAGGGCCAGGGAGACAGTCTGGAAGAAATCCCAGTTCTAATACCAATGGCTAATGGGGCTAATGGCCAAGGGCTCATGGGCAGAGGGATAAAGGTGTGGATGCCTAATCCCAGACAGAAGGAGGAGGGACTTCCCCTCTGAAGCCCATGGGGGGCTGATCGGGGAGTTGGGAGGTGGGATGGAAATGGCAAGTCAGAGGGCTCGCCACTGCTGCTGTTGACTGAGACTTTGGGACCATAGACTCTGGGGAATCCTCCAGAAGGAGGCTCTGCCAGAAGTACAGTTGGGTCCCATGGGGACAAGATGCTGCCTGTGTCACTGATGGATCTTGTTCTGTCCAGGTGACCTGGCCCTCGGGACTCCTTCGCTCTGTCATTCTTGAGGTCCTAGCCCTGGCTCCCCAAAGTGCCTCTACACCCTCCAGCTTTGTCTTGACTGAGAAATAAAGTCCAAAGCAAGTCAGATCATGGCTCTTGTCTGTTTGTCCTCTGGGCCCCTGAGCTGCTCCTTGCCCCTCCCATAAATATCTCAATATGATAACCAGAGAGGTATCTGTTTCTGCTGAAGTCCTGACTAGGAACAGTCTAAGGGATATGCTAGACTCAGCACCTACCCTGCATAGGGCCACAACCTTACCACATGCCCAACCCCTCTAGCCACAGCCCCTTCAAGCTGGGGGCAGGACTTAGAGATCTAGCCCCTTTAGAAGTAGGCTCCTCAGTGAGTTCTATACCAGGCTCTGCCCTTTGGCCCTTGCACCCTAGCAGAAATCTGTGAGGGCCTCACTTCTTGGGCCCCTCGGCTCTTCTGGGTCCCTCCTAGCCACCGCGCACACCTGCTGCTTTTCAATGCTGGTCCTTTTTCTTAAACATCCCCCATGGGCTAGTCCTGGGGGCCTCTAGACTGTAAGCCACTTGTCTCTTCATGTCACTTTAGATACAAACAGAACTCCTCCTATACCGAATTGTAACTAACCAAAATGCTGGACTGGGCTGGTGGAGGTCAGTCACTTAATAGCTAATCCCTTAGACATATGTCTACCCCTACTCTGACAGTAGCCATTCAAGCAGGAAAAGGCTCCAGGGGGCCTCAGATCCCATAAGCTTTCAAGGTACTGGACGAGAACCTTTGGATTGGTCATAAAGCAGGAGGGACAAAAAGGAACTATTTGTTTGATGGGGACTAGATGAGCGTCCATGCTCCCCATGAACAGAGATGGCTGAGGACAGCCTACCTGTACCTCTGCCTACTCCTGCCCTCTGGTGCAATTCAACCAGTGGCCTATCCTGGTGAGTTGTGTCTTAGGGCAGGCCAGTCACCTCAGGGCATCTTGGGGACATAGAGGCCACAGAGGAAGCCACCCCATCTCTTCTGCCCCGAGGATCTTTCAATGCTATAGGCTTTGCTCCTTGACCTTTTTAGAGTGTCTCTAGGCTGGCCTCAGGTTCCTATCCAGGACAACTTTGATGTCAGTCAGCTAAGCTCATACTGTCTCACATCTGTTTCACCTGCTTGTTTCTTCACCCCAGGCTTCTGCCCACACTTTCTTTGATTCCAGCTTATCAGGGCCTTGGACTTTATACTGGACCAGGAGTGGACTTGCAAGTACACTGCCCAGAACCAGCAGTTAGAATAAGCTGCCTCAGTCTCCTAGCACTGGCCTGGGGTTGATCTAGAGACAGAGGCTGTGAGCACTGGGCATTGAGCCTTGGCAAGGAAGCATCCTGGCAAGGTGGGGTGGGTCTCGCAGGATGCAGAGATTTCCAAGCAGCGTGCCTACCCCACCCTGCAGTTCAGGGCTCCTGGTACATAGTTGGGGCTATGCCCGATGAATAGGGCTTCCAGGACTCCAAGGATGACATGAAGATGCACATGGCCCTTGTGAACTCCTTGCCCAGTGGTGATGTGTCTGTCAAGCTTGGGTATCCCACATAAGTGATCCCATGAACCTCATTTTCAGTTTGGCCTCAGACAAGTGTGCAGCTAAGAGGTCAGGGAGAAGCAGCTTTGTGTCTGCCATGAGGGAAGTGCAGCCTACAGGCTCCTGACAGCCTAGGCAGTGGAGACCCAGATAAGGATCATGGAAACCTGCTCTCCAAAGGATGCCAGGCCACACCCACACCAAAAGCCTGCCTGAGGCCTGAGTGAGCAAATGGGGTCTGTATGTCTAAGTGTGTGTGACCACAGAGGAGGCTAGGGACTCGACACTCCATGGATGTGTGCCATAGGCAAACTCTCCTTACCTCCCCAACCCAACATGCCTTTCCTACCCTGTAAGACAAAGCACTCTGTCCTTGGAGGATTTTTGCGAAGGCCAACAGGAGATCCTGTGGCAGCTTTGCGTGGCAGTGTCCTTGGATCACTGGGGCTAGGGATGCCTGAAAAAGCCAGGCGGATGTTGGGGTAGGGCGCCATCAAGGTTCACCACTCAGGGGTGGAGTTTCTCCTCCTCGGGCAGATGGTGAGGCTGAAGGCAGATGCCAGGAGGTAAAAACAACCTCCACCAAGGGTGCTACAGCCAGACAGTTCAGCAACCCAGGTGAGGAGGTAGATAGATGGGAAAGTGTCCCCTGGCAGCAAGGAAAGAAGTGGGGTGGGTACCTCATTATGTAGGCTGCGGAATTGGCAAAGGGGTAAGGCTTCCTGGGTGGAGTGTCCCAGGGGTGGCTTCCATATCGTGGAGCTTCCTAGGCAGGCCTCCTTGAGTCCTGGTCAGCAAGCCAACTCTCACTCTTAGCTGTGGTCTAGAGTGACATTCACGTGCCCTTCATGGACTACCAGCACTTTGCTGTGGTGCACGACAGGACCAAGAAGCAAGGCATTCAGGATGTACGGCGGCTGTGCTCATGTGGGTTGGCAGAGGGGCTGGTCCTCATAACCCATGGTACCAGAACAGTTCCGGAACAGTAGCCCCAGCCTGGGTGAGAGGACGGCTCAGGGTCACATCTCATCACATGCTGATTCCCAGAGAAAAAAAACTTTGTTTCTCAATGTGTCTTCTTGCAACTTCAGTACCCAGAGTCTGCAGCAGACCCCCCCCCCAACCCTACCCCATCTTTGTCCCTGGCCATCTGTGCTCAAGCCCTTCCTTGCTTGTCCTCAGTCCACACCTCACAAATGTTTCCTGAAGGTGCCCAAAAGATTCATCAGCTGGCAACTCAAGTAGGCTGCACCCCAGCCAGGGTGCCCTGCTACCCTGTCAGGAGAATGCTGCCTCCACCCAGCTCAGGGCTGCAGGAGCCAGAACACTGAAGGCCCAGACTGGTCGCACAAGCCCAGAGTCACCTACAGGCTCCAAACCAAGACAGAAGCCCCAGAGGAGAGACACCCTTTGACTGGCTAGGTCAGGTGAGGGCCGAGAATGTCCAGATCACTTGGCACAGGAGACTATCATTAGCTGAGGTGGAGGACTAAGGGAAGGGGCAAAGGTGCGCATGAGACCTGTTTTCTCAACAGATCAGTGTGTTGATGCGCTGGCATAGGCGAGTGGCCTAGAGATCCCTCCCAAGTCCTACCCCCACCCAGACCTAGAACTGCATTGGGTGTAGTTTCTGGTGTGGAGAAGGCAGGGAGGCCTGGTCATCACAGCTTCAAGCAGTTCCCCTAGCCCACTACACCATCACCCCCACTTTAGTAGTGCTTGGGGATGGGCTACACCTGCTCCTTGTCTTGCAGTAATGGACCCAGACATCTGGGAGGTTAGTTGGGGTCATGCTGCCTCTGTGCAGAAGAGCTCCTGGTTTCTCACTACAGCACCCCAACCTGACTGACATACGCAGTGTTTCATAGAGGAAAACAGAGTGGGTGGTGGGTGGCAAGGACTTGGCTAAGGCTCCCAACCACATGAACTGGGTCCCTCAGGACAGTACCCGCATGGTTGGGTGTAGTCATACATTCTGGGTGCTGGGAAAGGGTGGGGACCTTGGGTCTGCTCGAGGAAGACCCAAGCGTGCCTGAGGGTCCTTCTCGATCCTGTAGTCCCCAGGAGTACAGTCCTGCTGGCTTAGCTGCCTAGAAGCTCCTGGCCTGAGACTGCAATTACATGGGGCAAGCCATACCCCAGCCTGCCCCATGTGTGCCCTGGGCCCTGGGCGCCACTGTGGACAGATTCAACCTTCAAGAATCTCAAAATACAAGGCTGTAGAGATGTCTCAGTAGGTCAAGGGACTTGGTGCAAAGTCTCATGATCTGAGTTTAATTCCATTCTAAGGATGGAAGAAGAAAACCACCTTCTACAAGCTGCCCTCTGACCTCCACATTTGCTCCAGTGCACACATATGCCCACATACAATAAAGTAAATAAAAGTAAATAATAAGGACGATTGAGGAAGCCACCTAACCTTGACCTCTAGTCTCTGCCTGCATGTGTACATGTGTGCTTACATATATACACATATATACAACACACACACAAAGGTAAGAGCACTGCTGCTCTGTGTATACAGGACAACGTAGTCTTATTTATTTAATCCCTGCTGTCTATCCCGGGTGACCAGGCCCCTGAGGTCCTCTGGCTTCAGCCTTTCCATCTGGGTTTACACGCATGCTCTACTGTGCCCTGGAGCACTGTTGTTTTCAAAAGACAAAATTGTCCAGAAAATTTTGAGGGTAAAGTTCAATGCTGTCTGTAATGTAAATATTCTGCAAATTTTAATAAAATAAAAATTTAAAAATGCCGGGTGGTGGTGGAGCATACCTTTAATCCCAGCACTCAGGAAGCAGAGGCAGGCAGATCTCTGTGATCTGTGAGTTCAAAGCCAGCCTGGTCTACAGAACAAGTTCCAGGATAGGCTCCAAAGCAATACAGAGAAAACCTGTCTTGAAAAACAAAACAAAACAAAAATTTAAAAATACTGATTGTAAATTTTTCAAAATGTTGATAATTCTCCTGTCTAGGGCTCATTACACTATTACTTCTGCTTTTTACTTCGTTTGGAATTTTTCAGTCAAAACAACTTCCTGTCTTTCCAGACTAGTTTTCTTGATTGGGGCTGACTGAACCAACAGGTCACAGGGAAAAGAAGCACACACACACTCCTTCATGCATGGACTCCAGTGGTCAGCCCACCCTTTTAGGGGCCCAGTGCCTTCTGGTCTCCAGGTCTTAGCCAGTGGTGAGCTTGGTTGGGGTCTGGACAGTGAGGAAGGGCCTACCAAGCTAGAAGATCTGCTCCCATCTACTCCCATGGCCACAGTGCCTGCAAGCCTTAGGCAAGGTACAGTCAGCCCACTAAAATTCCGAGTTCCCAACCCCAGAGTTGTTTTCTGAGAAATGCTGCCTGAGTTCAGGCTGATTAATGTTCTATCTGTTGTCATTCAGCCTTGCCATAGGCCAAGAGGAGAGACAGAAAACCTCATAGGCCAGACAGCAACAGAGATAAGGCAGACCCTCAGCTTCACCTCCATGAACTCCCAAAGGGTTTAGAGTGGGGAAAGGCAGGATGCTGTCTGTCTCAAGGACACC